TGGAACAGAGTCTAAAGACAGGCAGTCCTCAACAAGTCCTGAGGTCTAAGAAACAGACGATGGAGCGTATGAGTGAAGTTACTGGAGGGATCAATGTGGAGGAGTTACATCCAAAAGAAAAAGCCGACTTTGGATTGAGTAAAGATATCAAATCGCTACATCACATTGGAGATATTGTGACCTACTCACCTACTGCACTACAGCAGTGTAGAGTGAAGAAGATTGATCGTATTACACCTGCTGGCAAAGTAGTTTCATTTTCACTATCAATGGAGGCACCAGATTCATCTGTTTTGTGTGTTCCCGTCTCTTCTCTGAGGTGTAGTCTAGTACCAGTTGGTAAAGGTGATGAACCCATTCACACTACAGTCACTACCACCAGCACTGATCCTGGAGTGTATAGGATACAGTGTAACCCTTCAACCAGTGGTACTCATACAGTAAAAGTACAAGTATATGATGTACACCTTGAGGATACCTCACTAGTCATCCCTATTAATCCTTACCTTGATAACATCACTCCAGTATATATTATAACTAAGCTTAAGGGTCCTCGGGGAGTTGCTGTAACTGATGATAATCATATTTTAGTAGTTGAGTGTTCTAGTGACCGTGTAACTATACTGGATAGAGAAGGAAAGAAAGTGAAATCATTAGGAGGGAAAGGAGGAAGTGGTAATGTCAAGTTTTCTCATCCTCGTGGTATAGCCATTACTCCAGACAAATTCATTCTTGTATCTGATAGTAATTGGATCTATAAGATAAGCATGATTGGATTCCTTATAGCATCAGTTGGTGAGGAGGGCAGTGGACCACTACAATTCAATGATCCTGATGGTATAGCCATTTCTCCTATAACAGGACAGGTTTATATTGCTGATAGTTGTAATCATCGTATACAAGTCTTGAATCCTGATCTAACCTTCTCTCATTCATTTGGTAGTAAAGGATCAGCTAATGGACAGTTTGAGTTTCCACATGACATTGCTATTGACAGTCAAGGATTAGTGTATGTTGTTGATAAGTATAATGATCGCATTCAGAAGTTCTCTCCAGATGGAAAGTTTGTGGGTCAGTTTGGTACTCATAGACTTGGTCCTGGACAGCTTAATGATCCAGTAGGTATAACAATAGACACTGCAGCTACTGGTCTAGTGTATGTTAGTGATAGCAATCATCGTATATCAGTCTTCACTAGTGATGGTGTGTTTGTTAGTAAGTTTGGAGGTTATGGCAGTAATATTAATCAGTTTTATACTCCTTATGGATTAGCATTTAATAAAGATGGATTATTGTATGTTTGTGATTATAATAATAATCGATTTGTTGTTTATTAGATTTATTTACTATTCTACTTATTGATTTAGTTTAGTTTTGTTTTTATTATAGTTATTGATTATTAATTGATGACATTAATATAAGCTGATAGGAGGAGGGTTGGTAACTTGGTATGAACAAGAAATAAGAATAATTATGAAAGACATGTATAGAATTACTGTCATTAATGATAATGAGACTTATGTCAGTATGAGCATGATTTGTGGCCACAAATTGACAATTGCAAATAATTATGTCAATCACAGTGATATAATTATTTACAATGTAGCTCCTTCAAGATTACCTTCTAACAGTTTTTATACCTTATGCATTGTAATATGCATTGAATATTAAATTTTTATGTATAAGGGTTTTATTTTGTTGGTATAAATTTTCGTGAATCTTACCTTCTGCAGCCCATTTACCTAGTGTGCCATGCCCTTTTTGTGGAATTTATTTTAGCAAATTTAATGAAAACGTGAAATTAGTGAAATTTATTTCCAGTGAAATATAACCTCTATATGGTAATTTTTTATTAGGATTGCCATTCAGTGATTTGGTATATTAGTTTAGTAGCCATAATAATATGATCACACAAAACTAAACTATTAATAAAAATGCATATATACATACAGTATACATATGCATAATAATTCAATATATTTTTGGCCCGCCCAGCTTTGGGTAGGTGAGGACTGAGGACTAGGTGCTACTGTTGTCTGTCTGTCATTCATTCATTACTATTTGTGTTAGTCTGTTAGACCACATAATCAGCAAAATGAACACCATAAAGCATTCTAATTTTTTACTACACATAATTACATGTACCTCATTTTATACTTTCTCTTTCTCTCTCTCTTCCAGGCTAAGTCTTATTTTGCAGAAGGTGAATTGGAACAAGCTTTTATACTCTACAACAAGTTTGCTACGTAAGTTTATAAATAAAAATGACATGCAGTATCTTTTTGCAACCCTAATCCTTCAAAAATTTACCTTTGCTCCTGTTACTGCTACTCCCTGTCCTTTTACTTCTGTTACTCCAACATTTATTCTCCAAACTTTTTCTCTCTTTTCCTTTTATTTTATTCTCCCCCTCTCTCTCTCTTCTCCCAGGGGGAATTTGGTAAACTGACATTTTAATAGCTATTTGCCAAATTAAAACCCGCCAATCATAGCAATATGCCAAAATTGCCCCCATCTAGCTATACATTCTTAAACTTTCTCTTCTTTCCTCTCTCTTCCTCTCCCCCCCAGTCTATTCATTGAGAAACTCCCAAAGCATCATGAGTACTCCAGAGCTCCAGCAACAGAGAAGCAAAGAGTAAAGAAACTAGTGAAATCTTCCTTTGATCAGGCACTCCTCTGTAAGGAGAGACTAAAGGAGAAGTATACACAAGAGAAGGAGCTGTTCATACAGAGAAGAGAGAGTGAAGTAAGTAATGATTTATTATGTACTGTGGTGAATTGGTGATGTTTTTATATTTTGCAGTACTTCTGTAAGTAAATGTACTGTGTATGTATACTGTGTATAAATGTATTTATTATGTACACTGTGGTAATGCATTTATTTATGGCAAGTAAATTTTACAAATACTGCCTTATTATTGCTATTATTTACAAAATAAATTTGATCAAAAATTTAATTGTACATGTACCGTAAATCCTTAAATAGAAGCCACATTTGAATAAACGCCGGGGTAGCAATAAAATTAAACTATAAATACGCAACACTAGCCTAGGAGTGACTCAGTAGTCTAGTGGATAATGCCTGAAGTTCCAGAAGTCAAAAGCATGAGGTTACGGGTTCGAATCCCGCTTTGGGCTGACGTTTTTTTATTTTTTATATATTTTTTCGAGATCCAAATACCATTTTAGGAAATAGACGCCCGGGCTTTTATTTAAGGAAATACGGTACATGTATGCCTTTATATATAACCTTGTTCAAATTAGTCTTGTTTTAAATTTTTGTCCACAAATTGTGTTAGGAACTAGGTAGAAGAATTCTGTAAAATTGAGAGAAATGTGGAGAGTAGAGAGCAATAGCTTATTAATTTATTTTCTCTCTCTTTCTCTCTCTTTAGAGAGCTATAGAAGAGAGGAAGGCAACAGAAGAGAGAGAGAAGAGAGAGGAAAGAGAGAGAATGATAAGAGAACAAGAGGAGAAGAAAAGAAGAGAAGAACTAGAAGAGAGAGCAAGACTGGAAGCATATCTAGCAGGTAGTTACCATACACCATAATAGCTGGTAGTTTTTGAGGCCAAGAAGTTATAGCAAATTGCTGAATTTTTGATGATTAGCAAGTTTTAATTTATTGGGTGGATTTGTAACCATGTGCCATTGAGCATGTCAGAATTGCAGGTTTTGAATGGCTATGAGTATGCCAAATTTGCCAAAATGACCACCAGCTACTTTTATGTGATAATAATAGCTAGTTCATTTACATGTACATGTACATTTTACAGAAACTCCTACTCAAGAGAAAAAGCTTCCCTTAACCACACCTACCACTCCCTCCAAGCCAGACCCACAATTGTCAGAGCCACGCCCACAAGCAACCGAAGCCCCACCCACCATCCAAATAGAAGGAGAAGAAGGCGGAGTCAATGATGATGATGATGATGAAGGGTGTGTCTCTTATGATGATATGCTACTATTGTCCAATAACCAACCTTATTATTATGATGATGATGAAGAGGAAATGGAAACAGGAGGAGGGGGAATACCCACGTCTACTGAAGGGGGAAAACCCACGTCTACTGGAGGGGGAGTACCCACGTTTATAGGAGGGGGAAAACCCACGTCTACTGGAGGGTGGGTTCCTGTTGATGGAGGGATGAGAGGGGATGTACCCACGTCTACCGGTAAAGAGGAGTCAGATCATGTTAGTTTGACTGCTACTGATGCTAAACTTAGTAAAGTACTTCCTTCAATTGTACCTCAGGTATGAGTATTAATATATTATTAATAGTAACAGTAAAACTATAATAAATCAGGGTTTTCTGCTAAGTTTTTCCCAAATTTTGCCAAAATTGAAAAGTAGAGGATTCTTCATTTTTATAATTTTCCCTGATACATATACATTTACTTATGTTGTGTAAAAAGTTTAAGTTGATTCCGATCAAATTTGAATTTTTTACGAATTTTTTAAGTTGCTCTAAAATTGGGCCAAAGTCCCTGTACTATAGTACATGGTCTCGGGCCAAATTTCGCCAAAAATGAAAAATTGAAAATTCTCTGCTTTTATGATTGTTTTTGATACTTATACATTTACTTATTTGTATAGAAAGTTTGAGTTGATTCTGATCAAATTTGAAGTTTTTATGAATTTTTGAAGTTGCTCAATGGGTTTTTGCTTGTCGCAGATTTTGTGACAATGGAACTAATGGATTTTTGCTTGTCACCCATTAGATCTAATAAATGTTTTATTTATTTATTATTTATTTATTTAATTGTTTATTTATTTTTTAGGTCATAGAACGAAGCCGATCAGAGCAAACACAAAACTGTCAAGCCCCACCCCCAACTAATTATCAAGCTCCGCCTCCTACTAATTATCAAGCTCCTCCCTACCAGACTCCACCTACTGGGTATCAAGCTCCGCCCACTAATTATCAAGGTGCATATCAGGTCCCACCCCCTAATCAAGTACCCTATCAA